GTAGGGAAAAGCTACATGTGAATTGGCTTGAGCAGTGCAGAGTGATGGGAGCTAGGAGGAACATGAAGCAGATGATGTAGGCTCTCACTGTACAATGTCCATGATGCCATTTCTGGCTTGACTCTTGCAACTTATTTAAACTTCTGTGTGGCGATGTAATGCTACTGACCACTGGCTTTCTTCCACAGGCATGGGATAGCTTCATTTTCAGCGAAACAAGGAGAAGTTTGCACAAAAGAATATAGTCTCTTCTAAAGGGAGCGAGAGGGAGGGATTAATTTGCTTGGAATCATGATTACTGAAAGTCAAGTAATGGAGCGCTAGGTGAAGACATCTTTCGCTTAAGGGGGTGGGAAATAGGGAAACTCAGTAGCAAACCCCTCTGATATGCTGGGTGCTGCTGCAAACCTCAGAATCTTTGGTATGCACGTTTATGACATGCAAAGAAGCTCTCGCCGAAAAAGATTTGGCAAAGGCTTTTGTGCTGCTAAAAGTCAGATGTTCTTCACCCTTGGAAACATAATTCTCTGGAATTTGGCAGTGGGCTGGGAATTAATAGCAGCGCCAGTTGTAGGCTGCATGGACATGCATCTTTTATGTAGTGTTTCAACGCAAGCCTGTCCAGGGAAGGAGAAGTTTCCAAACAGTCCAATGTACAAAACCTATACTTTTCATGCTTGCCCTCTTGAGCAAATATCAGCATCCTCTCTCCGCTGCTTCGGAGTGAAGTGTCAGTATTTTAATTGACATCCTAAGGCTGAAAGGTACAAACTGGATGAACCTGCTTTGCAGTGTAACAACAATCTCAATGTACCAAAGTCCAAGTGACGTATAGAGAGAGATGTTGAACTTCTTGGGTCCTTACATTTTGTTGCATAGGGTTTCACCGTTCTTGGTCTTCTGGTGTTTGAAAGCCCCTTTTACCCAGTATGTCAGTTTTTGAGCTCCCATTCCACATGGAGGTGATCTTTTTGAGCCCCTCTGACAATACTGGTTTTCTGGGATTAGTTTCTTATCTTTATTTATCTAAAGATGGAGTAAGAAGTAAAACAACTGGTCTAAAAGGGCCCATCCTCTGACTTTAACACGAGACACACTGCACATAGATATTCCGGTGATGGAAGCTGTAAAGGTATCTGTGGTAGGTAAGTAGGCACAAAAGAAATAGTGATTTCCTTTTTACAGAGGAACATCACTGAGTGCTTAAAACCAAGGATGTTTAAAAATGTGCTTATCTTTTCTTGCATGTGGCTAGTAGAGCTTGCAGGAAAGCCCTTCAGGTGTGGACCATTGTACAGTCCACAGAAAAAAGCCCTGGACCGTAGGAGTGAAGTCCAAATTAAAGTGGCTTGCTTGCTTGAGGCTTCTTACATGGCCTGTGTGCTAGAGTGAACTAGAGAGGGTCCCCAGAGCTTCAGAGAAATGGTATTAATGCTTTGCCAGTGAGATTTGTTTAAAAATGGCTTTTGACTGACAACTGAACTGTAGTCATACAGCTCCTAACTCTAGGGGAAGATATTTTTAACATCGCTGAGCTGATTTCATGAGCACCTGAACGTGGCAGTGAGTGCTGCTTCGTAAGGGGATAGCAGACGTGGTCAGCATAGGAGGCCGCACCCATGCAGCCAGGTTTGGAGTACTGTTCCCAGCAGGCAGGTTTCCTGTGTGCAGCAATGGTGGGAGGACTGATGCAGACACCCAGTGTTTGGGTGTCTTTGGCACTATGCTTTCTAATCTGTCTGGGGCAGCTGTCAGGGTAGGCCTCCTCGGTGCTGTTAAGATGCCCAGCTTGGCACTGCCCTGTGCCGTGCAGTCATCCTAGGTGACATAGGCAACAGTGCAGTAGGCTAATCTACACTGTTGGAAGCTGCCACTTTGGACAAGGCCCCAGCTTTACCCAGGAACACAACTGTCCTGCCAGAGGGGTGGCCAGGGAACCATGTGGTGAAGCGCTGCTTGCCAAAGCCTTGCTTAACCAGCTTTGTAAGCCTCTACAGCTGCCCCAAGGATTCAGTGCTCGCTGAGTGCGATAATGTTAGAAAACGACAGTGGTGTATAATTGCTTTCCAGCCTGAAACTGCAACTGCATTTGCATAATTCAGAAATGGAGAGAATGTTCCATCATGCAGCCTCGTTAACAGTGCCTAGTCGCGACTCTGATCTGCAGAGACAAAGGTGTGAATGTGTTTCTGCATCTTGTAAATGTGCAAACGCTGGCAGCATTTCTGGGGCATTAAAAGAGGTGGTGATCAGGAGCTTTGCAACACATGCTGTAGGAAGTCTTAGCTTCTCCCTCCTGAAGCCCAGCTGCATGAATGGCTTGCTTGCCCAGGGTCAGTGTGCATGTTAGTGCCTGCCCAGGGTCATTGTTTGGGAAGGGCATCCAGAATGCACGCTTTCCTTACAGCTGCTTGTTGTGTACCTGTACGAGCTGACAGCCAAGGGTGCCCCTTGGGGGTCTGGCAAGGAAAATGTTGAGTGTAATTCAGTGACAGCAAATCTTGTAAAAGGGATCTTAAAACATACCTCATGGTCGTGAAAGTTGCTGCAAAGCAGAGAGCATATTTCAGCAGTGAAGCAGGCCTAGTTTGACTTGAAGATGTACGAGCAAGAATGAAAACCAGCTGGAAATACCAGATTTACATGAAACGCCACAGCTCAGTGCCCTGCTGCGGATGTACATCTGAATAAATCAGAGTGCATTATGACTGAAACTTCTCGTTCTGAATTGACCACAGTCTAAGTGGCAGAAGAGTTGAATTTCTGTACCTTTCTCTCTAACGCTGGGGAAAGGTCTGATCTCTGGCAAGTAGCAGGGAGGGGTAGCGAGAGTGAAGCAGAAGAGTCTCTGGTCTAGTAGGCAGGAGAGAAGGCAATGTCATGGGGCTGGAAGGAGGAAGGAAGTGAAACAAATTGATCACAAGGTACAGAGCAGAGTCATGACCTGGTCCCAGGACTAAATCTCCAGCAGAGATTTTGCTGTCCAGGTAAAGCCAGTAGGTGTAGGTAGAATCCAAAATGCTGAAATGAGGGGAGAAAATCAAGCACCTGGTACATGGACCATCCTCTTCCATGTGGAAACTGTAGCTCCAGCCTCCCAGTAGGTTCTCAGCTGAACAGCCAAACATCACGCTCCTAATGATCTTGGAAAATGAGGGGAGATCTCAAGGAAACCCAAGCAGGAATATCAAGAGCAGGCTAGTGTGGACGGTGTCACCAGAGGCTGACCGAAAGGGTGGAATTCCTGCTTTCTCCATCCCGATCCGGGCATGTGCCTCTTGCAGAATACCAGGGGCCCCTAATGCAGCAGGGAGCAGAGGTGCCCTGGCCTTGGCCAATCTCTTTAGGGCTCAAAACTGTTTTCTAGTGCCAAATAGGAAGGGAGTTTGAGAGAGCTTGTTGCCCTGAGTTCGCAGCCAGGACTCCGGCGGGAGGCACGGTGCTCGTTCTGTTTGGCTAAGAGACCCCTTCTGCTTGGGCGGCTTCCTCCACAACAAACAAGGTCCAGTTTAGCATCAGGACTGCAGCACCAAGCAGCCAGAATTCACAGGAGCTAGACACACCTGGTAGATAGAAGTGCGAAAGGTGGCCCCCGGGAGCCTGGATCCCCATGCACCCTGATGGGATCCCAGTATCCAAGGGGAGGAGTGAGGAACATGGGCTTTTCACCAGTGTAATTCCCTGGCATCTGCCCTCTCTACCCTTGCCTAGGAGGCTAAATTATGAGGCCACCGGGGGTCTGGTGAACTTTTCTGGCCTCTATGGTAGGAAAGAAATGTGTCTTCAGAAGCTGAAATATTGCGTCCCAAACTTTTGCCTTGCAAGGGATGACCTGGTTGATGTGACTTATACAAGGGGGAGGCAGACTGAACCCAGGGTGCCTTAGCTTAAACATGCTATATAGGTGGAGAGGTAGATCAGCCTCACCTGCCCACATCCAGGGGAAACTAGTGCTTTTGGAAATAGTCTTGCTCCCTGCTTACCAGATGGCAAGAGACTAAGTGAAGCAGAAGGTATCCTGCCTCCCTTTATCTCCATGTTACTGGTGTCATTACTGATGTCACTCATAACAAATGCAACTCTTCCTGAGTGACAGGGCTGCTAGCCTGGAGTTCAGTGCTTTACAGTAATGCAGATAGATGCTGGAGCAGTGGGTTCAGTTTGAAAGCACGAGGTATTTTAGAAGAGTTTGTAGTGGTTGGTGGGGGGAATGAGGTGCGTTTCTGGCAAAACGACAGGCATGGTGGCTTCAGCAAGGCTTTTTGTCCTCATTCAGAAGTTATGCAGATTCAGCATGTCAGAACATCCAGTACAGTACTGCTGCGCTCTTGTGCAGAAGCCTCGATTAGCAGCAGCTTACTATGCGTTCCAAATCACTGTTGAATTAGTGCAGCGAACCCCTGGTGCTGAGGCCTGCGGGTGGTTTTGCGCAGGTACTTGGGCTCAGATTACTTTGTACTATGCTTAGGGCACTACCTCTGCCTATGTTGGCCTTGCTTTTTCACTATAACATCTACCATAGAACTGGAGAACAGTACATCACCACTAATACCACTCATCTCTTCTTATTCTCTCTCCACTTCCAGTTGCAGTGAGTTGTGGATGGAGGAAAGGCCTTCCCTCACTGCCTGGAAAGGAGGAGCTGTAATGGCAGACATTTGAGGAGAATGGAAGAGAAGGCTCACAAGCAGTTTGTCAACAGGGCTAGATGCCGATAATCACTAAAATACCTTGCTGAGGCCCGAGGATCACTTAATGTTCGGAGAATATAAAGTCCCCTTGGGGTTAGGCACTCACTTCGCTCTCGCAGTATTTACAGCCATTGACTGACTTTTATGTGCAATAGCTTGCAAGTGTTTGTGTCTGAACTAAGAGTGGAAATTTTGGTTTAGGAAGAAGAAAAGTTCTACCTGTCACTTCTTTGTTTTTTCAGTCACAACCCATGTGCAAATGCTGCACTTTCTTTGCATTCACATTTTTTTTTCTCTCCTTCTGCAGGACTTGACTGGCATAGAGTCTATGGACCAATGTCGTCATACTCTGGAGCAACACAACTGGAATATAGAGGTACCAGCTACAATTATCGTCCCAGCTGATTTTCTTTCCAGCTGCCTAGCCACCTCTGTTTGAAGGCTCCCAAAGCAGAATTTCTTCTCTTGTATTTGCCTGAGCAGTGATCAAGGTTGCTATATTAAAAAAGATGCATTTACACAATACTTTTGTATTCAGCTCCACATGAATAAGTTTATTCGGTTATCATTAAGAACAACTTTGGCTGGTGTCTTAATTGCCCGTTCACAATTTCCAGTCATGTTGAGTTGCCCATTGTGCAAAGATGATAGCCCTTCATCTCTGAAAGCAGTTCTGTCCTCTTTTGGTCCCAAAGCATGAAGTGGAAAATGGATACCAAATGGCTATTCGTGCCTCACTAAGGCCAGGACTCATGCTGGGCACGAACGGAGCATTCAGCCTAACTACATATGCTATTATTTGATTACCGCCAGTCAGAGGGAAGTCCGTTTTTCTTTTTTAAGGCTTTCTGGAACTCTGTTCTCATTTCCCCCCTCCTCTTACATGCAATACAAGCACCTAATGTCTTCATCAATATAGTACCTTCCCACCTCAGAAAGGCTTCTTGTCAACATACACACGTCTCCACTGCTCTCTTTTTCAAAGCTTCTTGGCACATGGCTGTACTGTGAAACCTTCCATGTACAACTGCCTGCCCTGTGGCTGGATTGTTGTGGACCACACTACTCTGGGCACCTGAATAAAGCTGTCTTTCTTTAGGCTGTAAACATATCACTTATTTAGCACAGCTCTTCAAAGGAACAGCACCATGGATTGTAGGCTGGAAGCAGCAGTGCCCTCACTTATGTATTAAGTTGCAGCTGTCCAGTGCTCAGATGTTCAGAATGGGAAGGTTCAGAGTGTATTTCGCTAACCTTCATGCATGTTGCCACTCTTGATGGGTCCCTTTGCTGTTCCTTCCACCACAGGCAGCTGTACAGGACCGGCTGAATGAGCAAGAGGGTGTCCCGAGTGTCTTCAATCCACCTCCATCCCGACCGCTGCAGGTCAATACAGCTGACCACAGAATCTACAGCTACGTTGTTTCAAGGCCACAACCCAGGGCAAGTAATTTAATGATTGGGTTTTGTCTTTGCATAGATAAGTGATCCCTGTGGATAAGGAAAAGTACAGCAACAGGAAGGGAACTCTGTTTCCTTTGCTTACTGCTGTCTTGTTTATTTTCTCATGAAAATTGCACCCAATGCTGCTCTGGGCAGGGCTGTTCTTTCAACATCCCTGATTGCTTCAGGCGCTTTCCTTACCAGTGTGTTTTGCAATATAGGCAAACCATGTCAAGCCTATACAGGTCTTAGTCAGATCATAGCAAAACCCTTGCTTGGACTTCCCAGTTCATGTGGAATGAAAGATTGTTCCCTGCTTTCTTGCTGTTTGATGATTTTAAGTAACAGTCTGCCATAAGTATGCTAGTAAGATGCCAGTTTGATTACTACTTCCTGCATTACAAATGGGGATTCTCATAGAATCCCTACAAGATCAGTCAAGGCTATGGTTCCCCTTTCACAGGTAGGGGAAAGTGATCTTGGAAAGTTGATCTTTCCCCCTCTGCCTTTTTTTCAAAAAAAAAAAAAAAAAAAAGTCTTGTTTGAGTGGCAGAAATCAGGCTGGACTCTACAAGTTAAGTGTCTGTCAGCAAACACTTAAAGTTGGCCTGACTTACCTGCCCCAGGTTGCAAGGCAAGTTGCCAGCTCCTGGTTCTTTGTTCAGAGCACCGACGGCACACTTGCATGGACATTACAGCATGGCTGACGATGGGTAGAGGCACATTTCACCTGGCATGCATCTTCCAAGGGACGAGGTAAACACATAACTCTCTTTGTAATTGCAGGGCTTGCTAGGATGGGGTTACTACTTGATAATGCTTCCATTCCGACTTACCTATTACACATTACTTGATATATTTAGGTAAGTTCTTTTCTTTCTTTCGTTTTTGTTCAAGTTTATGTATTAGTTGCAACAAGACAGACTAACTGGTGACTGTTCTTGTTATAGTCTGGAAATTCTTGTTCAGTGTAGTAAGATACCAGAATTTATATTAATGAGATACTTGCTCATTCTGATTTCTCTGTAGCACTGTGTAGTCTTTATTGAGTCAGAACGCAGCATTCAGTAATGACCGAGTGTTGTATACCAACAAAGACCGGAATGCCTTCTTAATCTGCAAATGAAACAAACATGTAATGCTAACTCCAAATCAAGATGCTTTACAGTTCCTAAGTGTGACACACCATCACCAGGCCAGTAATGGGTAGGTACTGAGTTAATGCCCACAGCATCCACCCCTCATCACTGAGGCTGCATGGTGCTAGGTACTGTACCAGCACGTAGAACAACAGTTCCTGGCTTGGTGTTATGGTCTCTAAGGAGACGAGAGAGAGAGAGTGAAAAACCGACCAGCAGGAGAAGTCACAATGTGAGCGTTTGATGTACAGGTGATGTTTGTACAGACTCTTCAGGTGCCTGTTTCTGCCCTCTCCTGGAGCCTTGTCACTTCTCTGTCCTCACTGTCTCAAAAGGTCCTTCTTCTTTCAGCCCACCCCATGGGATAGCCAGCAGGAGGTTGGGGCAGGCAAGATGGCAACAGTCGTGAGTGTCCCACCATCCTGCTTGCTGGATTCTGGCTCCTGTCTCCTCTGGTAGCTTCCTCTTGCCTTTGGGAAAGGGCTTAAGTACATTTCTAAACCAAATGTGCCATGGTGAACACTCTCCCACACGCTCGTATCTGTGCCAACAAAGCTGCCCGGAGGTTGAGACCCACCGATTTTTGGAGATCTTGCTGGCTGTAAGCATAAACCACGTGGGTCTTTCAGAAAGTCCAAGAGCTGAATTCCTTTGCTTCTCTCCTAGGTTTGCTTTGCGTTTTATACGCCCTGATCCTCGCAGTCGGGTCACAGACCCAGTGGGTGACATTATTTCCTTTATTCATATGTTTGAGGAAAAGTATGGGAGGATACACCCCGTCTTCTACCAGGGAACATACAGCCAGGTCAGTGCCATGTAGCACAGTGAGGGTATGGGTGGCATATTGCCGGTGCTGCCTGGCCTCAGGCCCTAACAGAGAATGGCAAAAGTCACCTTCTGTTTAGAAACCCACTATAAATGTTCAGGCAACAGCATCGCCAAGACCTAGGCTGTGAGCATGGTCAAAAAGAGTTTACCCCACAATGCATTTGCCATGGTGACATGCCAGGCCTTTAAGAATGGGAAGGACAAGCTGCTCTGACTGTTCTTGGCTGCCAGCGTGGCTCTGAAGCCAGACGTTTTTCATGGCTCCACTTGTGCTGATTTTATAAATGACAGCAAGGAGCTTCGAGGAGAGCGCAGGCCCTGGGAGCGCCAGCCAGACGCAGCAGGCTCTTCACTTAACTCTGCTGCCCTAGTCCAGGAGGCTCCCATCCCACGCGCATCCTGATGGCCGTAGTAACAGCCACCTCCCTCTGCCCTCCCCCAGGCGCTGAACGACGCCAAACGGGAGCTGCGCTTCCTACTGGTGTACCTGCACGGTGACGACCACCAGGACACGGACGAGTTCTGCCGGTAGGTGAGAGCGCGGGGCGCCAGCCAGCCCATCGATCGCTCAGGGCCAATGAGTCATGCTGCCTTCCTTCTCGCCCCCAGCAACACCCTGTGCGTATCTGAGGTGATCACCCTCATCAACACCAGGATGCTGTTCTGGTCCTGCTCCACAAACAAGCCGGAGGGGTACCGAGGTGAGCGGGGAAGCAGGCGCCCAAGGCAGGGGCAACTTGTGCTGGTCCCCCTCATTTCTCTGTCCTCCTCCTCCCTCCATGCCCTGTAATGGGGATGTCCCTTTTGTAGGCCGCAGGCAGGCTCTGCAGCATGGCACAGCTAGATGCCTGCAGTCTTATCTCTGCGGCATCAACAGCCATAGAGGCTCTGCCGTGCACAGGGGAGTGGTAGCCCAGAAAGCTGCCCAGCCCAGACCCTCGGAGGCAATGTTTACTGTGACCTTTCTGGATCACCCATGCTGGCAGCAATTTCTGCACTTGTCTCCCAGTGTCCCAGGCTCTGCGAGAGAACACATACCCCTTCCTGGCTGTGATCATGCTGAAAGATCGCAGAATGACTGTGGTGGGACGGCTGGAAGGCCTCATCCAGCCGGATGACCTCGTTAACCAGTTGACGTTCATCATGGATGCCAACCAGACGTACCTGGTGTCCGAGCGCCTGGAGAGGTATGAGGCTGGGAGCCCGGAAGGACTCAGGAGGGCTTCGGGGGTACTTGGTGCCAACTTGCTGTGATCTGCAGTTAGAGGTCCCTCACCATCACAAGGAAATGCTGCTCAGTGCTCCCTAGGCCTAATCTCCTTGGGAGCAGGCAGCATTTGGCCCCCAAAAGAACCTTTGGAGCCTTCCACGTGCACACACACTCATGCTCCTGTCTGGGGCTGCTCCACTGAGGCTCCTCTGCCCTGCCGGGATCTGGGAGGCTGCCGGCTCTGACACCACTGCCTGGTGTTTGCAGGGAGGAGAGGAACCAGACGCAGGTCCTGAGGCAGCAGCAGGATGAGGCGTACCTGGCTTCCCTGCGCGCAGATCAGGAGAAGGAACGCAAGAAAAAGGAGGAGCGGGAGAGGAAGAAAAAGAAGGAAGAGGAAGTGCAGCAGCAGAAGCTGGCCGAGGAGAGACGGCGACAGGTGAGGGAGGGGCCCTGCAGGGCTGCAGCCCCCCTCGTCTTGCTCACGTTCCACTTGGGCATTTCCCCGTCCTGGTCAGTGCCCCATGCTGAGCCCACAGTGCTTTTCCTGCTGCGCTTCGAGTTCTTTGGCCCGTTGGGCCCACCTGCCTTCTCTTGAGCCTCTGGGGGGAGGCCGGCTGGCACATGCCGTCTCCCATGCTGGTACCCAGGCCAGCTCCGTGAGCCTGTCACTCCCCTCTCCCACCGTGCTTTGCAGACGCTGAAGGAAGAGAAGGAGCGGAGGTCGGAATGCCTTCCCCCGGAGCCGCACCCTGATGACCCAGAGAGTGTCAAGATCATCTTCAAGCTGCCCAACGACTCCCGAGTAGAGAGGCGATTCCACTTCACGCAGTCGCTAACGGTGAGGCTCTGCCCCCTGCCGTTCCCACCTGCTAACACAGCCTGCAGTCTTCCACCCTCAATCTGGCGGCAGCTGGGTGGGTGGCCCAGCAGGGGCCGGCACAAGGCCGCCCTTGCTGGGCCCTCCGGAGGCTGAGGGGTTACGCCCAGGCTGGAATAGGGCTCAGTTGCAGTGTGGTGAAGGGCTGCCGCACAGGGTCGCACATCCTCAGTGTGTAGGGAGTGCAGGAGCCTGGACTTGCAGGTGGGATCTCCAGGTCCTTCTGAATCCAGCCCTGGGAAAACGCCTGTGTCCCTGGCTGTACACAAGTGCTGGGTGGCCTGCGACTAGCCTGAGTCCGTGAGCAGAACCAACTTCTGTGCTTTCCGCTCCCTAGGTGATCCATGATTTCCTGTTCTCCCTGAAGGAGAGCCCGGAGAAGTTCCAGATCGAGGCCAATTTCCCGCGTCGCGTGCTGCCCTGCCTCCCCACAGAGGAGTGGCCCAACCCACCCACGCTGCAGGAGGCCGGGCTCAGCCACACAGAGGTGCTCTTCGTGCAGGACCTCACGGACGATTGATGCGGCCCTGCCGCACGGCCCGAGGACCCCAGACGATGATTACAACACGATATTTTTTTTAATGACTGCTGCGTACAGATGAGGGATCAGAGGCTACGTCGCCGGCGCCAGCCATGCTGCGAGCCTGTCCTGGTGCCGGGCAGCGCCTGCGAGCTCCTGCACCGTCACTCCTGACACCGTGGGCAGAGGGAGGGAGACAGCGCTGCCCTCTCCGGGGGGCAAAACCGGCAGCTCCCGGTAAATCTCGCTTTGATCGGAAACCCTTGGCCCCCTGCCCCTGCCGCCCGGGGAGGATTTGGGACTCGGCTGCTATGGGCGGCCCGTGTGGCAGGCAGGGGCTCCTGCCCATGCCGGGGGTGGGGCCAGACAGACAGACTCTCCTCCGCTTCCCCTGTGTATAGACACCTTTCTTTTAATCTCTCTCGCTTTGTAATGACCAAAGGAGCCCGGGGTTGACAATAGTATTAATTTTTGATAAGAGCTGGTTGAAGTTCCTGCCCCGTGGGTGCCGGCCCGGGGCTCTTAGCCTGCATAGTGTAATAAACTCTGCCTCTAGCGTGCCTGTGCTCGTGCTTCACGTGTCCCTGCCTCCCTGTCTCCACGCAGGCCAAGGCCAGGCCTGCTGGCAAGGGGCCAGGGCTCTGCAGCAGCTGCCAGCGCTCACCTGGAGGCTAACCTATGTTTCTCCAGTGCGGGCTGTGGGTCTGGATGCCTCTTTTCCAGGCCTCTCAGCTGCCTCAGCCACTCGCCCCAAACCAGCTGATGCTGGGGGAGGAATGGCTGTGGGGTGTGCAGCAGGACTGTGCCCAGGTAGGGGTGGCTGAGCAGGCGGATGTGGCCCAGCTCCCTCCAGCCTGGTTCTCTTGCTGCTGTCCCCTCTGAACCCAACACTGGCCTCTCAACTGGTGGTGCAGGGGCATTGCTGCCAGTGGGAGGGCCAAGCCTAGCTGCTCTGAATAGGCTCTGCTTTCTCAGGAGGGGGAGACCTCAAAGAGTGGTGAGGGGCATGTGATTATTGTCCCTTTGGGGTCCCCTGGACTCCATCCTCTTGTCTCTCCCATTCGCTGTGTGCCTGGGGCTGCTGGGCAAGAGGGTGCAGAGCTGTGGAGTTCACTACCAGCAGCATATGCTGGCCCTAGCTCTGCTGCTACCTCTGACCCCGGCCCCATCGGTTTGGTTCTTCCCCAGCTGCAGCTGGGGCTGGGCTGTGGGGGAACCAGTTGCAGAGGAATCCAGGCAGACCGCGATCTGCTGGGGCCAGGAACACCTCTCACTGATAGGGTTCAGCCTCGCTGCTCAGGGTCACAGTCTGGGATAACTCGTGGATCCTCTGCTACACCTGGATCTCCACCCAGGGAGAAGGCTGTGACTCTGGTCCCCATCACCTGTGTCTTTGTAGCAGTCCAGCCTGGAGGTGACTGTGCCCCGTATGGAGCGCTGCCCTTGAGAACCGGCTGGTGCAGAACACAGCACCCAGCTTTTGCCAGGGGTGGGTCACTTGGAGCGCAGAGCTCCAGTCCTTCGGTATCTGTGTGGGCGCCTGGGAGCCTCCTCGGTGCTGGTTCTGACCTACAGCACCCTGGGTCCTACCTACCTGCACCTGGCACAAGCACTAAGGGCAGCTGAGAGCAACCTCCTGCCCGTGCCACATCAGTACAGTCTGCTGGGGGGGAAATGATCCCCACCCGAGAAGGGCAAGACCCGGCCACGAGGTGGCTCCAGTGGGGCTCTGCACTGATGTTTCATTTACTCTGGTGTCCTTGTCAGTTGTTCCCATTGCTAAACACCGTCCCGAGCCCTCGCTGGGGACAGCAGCACATAGATGGCGTAAAGAGCCAGACCTGGTGCTAACACACAAGGCCCAGGGTTAATGTTGGTGAGAGTCAGACCCAGAGAAGCCTGAGCCCAAGCCGTGGCGTTTTGGGCTGCTCCCTGCTTGGCCAGGGCCTGGAGCTGCGGCAGGAGCTACTTCCTGCTGCCCAGGGAGCGGAGCTGCCCCAGCACCAGGCTGAGAGGAGGGGGATCTCCCTTGCCAGGTAAGCAAAACCACCTGGGCTGAAGACCACCCCGTGGCATTTCTGCTGCAAGGAGCAGGGGAGCCACCCAGCCCCTGGCCCCAGCTGGACTGGAGGCAGGGCATGGCTCTGCATCCCCCTGACTCTACCAAGCCCAGGCTGGGGCACTTCTCCCAGCACAGCGCGGGTTGGGTGGGGGCAGTTATCCCTACCTCCCCCCCAGCGGCACACTCCCCTCTGCCGGGCCACTACTCACCTGTGATGGAGGAAGGCCATATGGGAACCGGCGCAGTAGATGCTGGTCCTTGCTGCTGGCTGTGCCACCTCCTAGCACCGCTGTGGCCCCAGCCCAGGGCACAGACCCAGAGCACCTAGCAGTGGGGCAGGGATCGCTGCTGCAGCCAAGCAAAGGAGCAGGACCTGCTCCAGGCAGCAGACGTGGCCGTACTCCACAGGACACACGGGGTCAGGTCCAGCCCAGAGAAGGGCCCGCCTGCCCTACTCTTCAACAGCTGGGGAACAAACCCTCAGCGCAGCCACCCCTGGGCCCAGGAACGCGGGGGGCCAAGGGCTCTGGCACTGCAGAGAAAGATGAACCCCGCAACCCCAATGCAGCGTCTGTCTGACCCTTGGTGCAGGGGAAGACCTGCCAGCCAGGACCCTCCAGGTTCGCACCCAGCCATCCCCACCCTGGCCTGGCCTGCAGCCAGTACCCAGGCCAGTGCCAGCGGCTCTGCCTGGTGCCGAGCCACAGGGAAAGGAGCAGCAGCCTCCTCTTTCCACCACAGCCACAGGGCTGGGACAGTCGCAGCTCCCCCCAGCCCCGTCTCCCCTTCCTTGGCTCATGCTGTCAGGCAGGGGCTTTAGGACACTAGGGCAGATGCAGACTGTCCCCAAAAGCCCCAGGCTCCGGCAGCTGCTGCCGCAGCACCCCCTGTTGGCCCCACCCCAGGCTGCAGTCAGGACCCAGGGCTACCCTGCAGCTGCAGGCTCCTTCCTGGGGCGCTGCCCCACGGCCCTGAGCTTGGCCCAGGCCCTGCACTGCCACAGCTCCTCGGAGGCTCAGGCTGGCAGATGCTGCCACACCATGCCCAGCCCCCTTGGGATCACCCACCCCAATGCCCAAGCAGGCAGAGCTCCGCTCCCAAGAGGACCCTGTGCCTCGGGTACCTTGAGCACTCGCAGTGCAAGCCCTCCATGTCCATAGACTGCAACAGCACTGCCGCACCCTCGGCACTCTCCAGCCCTGCTGTCCTCTCCGGGACCGGCCCAGCACTGTGGGCCACCAGCACCACCCCAATGCCTCCTGCCCATGTGTCCTTGGCCGCTTCCACCCGCCAGCCTCTGATGTCCAGAAAGGGCCAGAGCGAGAGCACTGAGCCAGCTCTGCCCAGCCAGAGGCTTCCCTGCCTGCATGACCCACAAGGTAAACAACACGCTATTTTTTAGCCTTTTTATGTGGGAGAGGTAGGATAAAGGAAAAAAGATTTTTCCATAGCTGTGGCTCCAGAGAGCAGGGATGGAGGCTCATCATCAGTCCACTCGCCCGCCCTGTCCTGCTTCATTAAAGCTGAATTCCTAGCTGCTGCTGTGGACGGTCTCTATGGGTGATTCTATGGTTACGAAAGGAGCTAAAGAGTCCATGTTGAACAGTTCGCGCTAAAAAAGCTGCAAAATAGAGACGCGACACTGTCCTAAGCAAGGCTGGCTAGGGTAGTGGAAGGTCAAGCGATGATTGCTAACACCTGGAGAGTGAGAACAATAAACCATTAAGTCAGTTGACCCCAGTGGGAATATCACAGC